AATGACAGATTGGAGAAAGAAAATATAGTACATGGTACCACAGAATACTATGCAGCCATCAAAAAGAAGAGGATCATGTCTTTTGCAGGAACATGGATGAAGCTGGAGGCTGTTACCCTTCGAAAACCACACAGAAACAGAAAACCAAATACCACATGTTATCACTCCAAATGGGAGCTAAATGATGAGAAGACCCGGACACGTACAGGGAAACAACAGACGCTGGGGCCTACTTGAGGGTGGGAGAGGGTGGGAATTGGAAAAAATAACTATTGGGTACCAGGTTTAGTACCTGGGTGACACAATCTGTACAAAACTCCCTGTGATATGAGTTTACCTATATAAAAAGCTGTATGCATACCCCTGAACCTAAAATAAAAGTAAAAGATAAAACAAAATGAGGTGATTAAATCATCATCTTCAGCATTAGTAATATAAGTCTGAGCTGAACGTGGTGGCTCACGCCCATAATCCCAGCACTTTGGGAGGCTGAGGTGGGTGGATCAGAGGTCAAGAGATGGAGACCATCCTAGCCAACATGGGGAAACCTCGTCTCTACTAAAAATACAAAAATTAGCTGGATGTGGTGGCAGATGCCTGTAATTCCAGCTACTTGGGAGGCTGGGGCTGGAGAATCACTTGAACCTGCAAGGTGGAGTTTGCAGTGAGCTGAGATCGCGCCATTGCACTCTAGCCTGGGTGATAGTAAGAGAGTCCATCTCAATCGATCAATCAATCAATCAATCAATCAAACAAGTCTGCCTTTCTCATAGAAACCTATTTTCTATTGTTACTGGGGACTCAGTCATTTAAAAAATACCAACTATTTCACAGGGAAAGTTTTATTTGCATTACAAATCACTAAAGGTAATTCTGGAAACAACAAGAAACTAAAAAAAACTTTTTAAGCTGTGCAATCTTTAAAGCAAAGATACAAATGTGAACTATTAATTTCCTCTCTATTGCCTATTCAGCAGATCAAACTTTCACAAATAGCTGAGTAAATTTTGTGTATCAAGTCAAATTTTATAGAAAATACAGTTTACATCGCCAGAACTCACAAGGTAAGAAAATCAGAACCTTCACTGCTACCTAGAAAACTGTGGAGAAACCCACCACATATCTCTTTGGAAAAGGTTTCAGCGTGTGACAATGTACAATGTAAAACACAGTTGTCAAGAGTCCAAAAATAGCTAGATACACCTGCTAATTGTTTCTACATGATCTGAAGCAATCCCATGTATGTTTACTTTTGGAATATACAGACATAATTCTGCAGGAACAGTGGGTTAGGTAAAGAGAACACCTGTGAAGAGAAAAAGACCATTCTAACCAATGAACACTTCTACAGGATGAAATTTATGGCATATGAATTATAGATCATTTTTTAAAAAAGAGGAGAACACACCAAGCACCCCAGGTGACGTAAGTGCTATAGAAGGAATCTCTGTTCGTCACCTCTGGAATCTTCTTTCACTAGACTTGTCTCTTTCGTTTTTGCTCTCTCCTTTGCCCACAGGACCTCATGTAATATTGCCATGGATGCTACCGATTTCATGTGTACCCCACTGACCTCTGGGTGTAGGAGGTTGAACTTGGCTTTTTGAATCACCTCTCCATTTAGTTTTTTCTTTGTTGAGATAGTGTCTTGCTCTATCGCCCCAGCTGGGGTGCAGTGGCACGATCACAGCTCACTGAAGCCTTGACCTCCTAGGCCCAAGCAATCCTCATGCCTAACCCTCCCAAGTAGCTAGGACTACAGGCATGTGTCACCAGATCTGGCTGTTTTTTAAATTTTTTTGGAGAAATGAGGGTCTCCCTTGATGTTGTGCAGGCTGGTCTTGAACTCCTGACTTCAAGCAGTCCTCCTGCCTTGGCCTCCCACAGCGCTGGGATTATAGACACGAACTACCATGCCCCACCCCCACTGACTCTTGGTACTTCCATTTTCCCTCTGCCTTCCCTACATCCTTTTTAGGGAAAGAGGAAATGTTTATTCCACAATTTTGATGGAATCAAAACTGACAAGCCCTCTGAGACAAAAGAAAGGGAATGAACATTTGTCAACTGCCTAGTTAGGGGCTCTGCGGGGTCTTAAATGTATGTTATCCTATTGAAACTCATGACTACTTGTAAGATGAAGATTCTTATTCTCATACTCCAGATGAAAACACCAAAGCTGTGAGAGCTTCCTCTATTTAGACATCCAGTGGATATTTGCCCAGAATATCTATTTTTTCTTTAGGGGGCACAGCTTGAAAACTGCTTGCTGAATAGAACTAACTATAGCCAGGGAAAATGTACTAAAAGCAACATTATGCTAATAAAAAGTGACATTTAAACACGATTACACTTCAAATAATCCCCAGAAGAACATTCCCATTCTAGGAGGCAGGATGTTTAAGAAGATGTGATCTCACAGTAGCACAAAAGAAAGGAGGAGACACACAAACGCTATTTTTCACTATTGAAAAGAATATACAAAGCACTCACTGAGAAACTAGGTTTTCTGCCACTTTGATAGCTCCTGGGTTTGCCAGAGCAAATTGAACAGTTTTTCTTAGATTGGGTTTGTCTCAGAGTCTCATCTGCCATCCCTTCCTCCTCCCCGCAATAAAACCAAGTTCGTTTTGGCTGCATTTGACTAGACGGGGAAGGAAGAGCAGCAGAATATGGAGTTCCTGGGTCTGGAGTTAACTTCTGAGTATCCTGATATTTGAAAGTTGCAGACTTAATAGTCTTTCAACTGCTGCAGCCACTGACTACTTCACGGCCAGTGGCACACCACAGGGACTCAGGTTCCAAGGTTGCCCATGGGTATCATCTCTTGATAGACTACCACACCTGGAGATAGACTGCCTGGGTTTGAACCCCAGCTCCACCTCATTATGGCACTGTGACCTTGGCAAGGTACATAATCTCTCTGGGCCTGCTTTGTTATATGTAAAGTGGGGATGGGAATAGCTCCTTTCCCCAGTTGAGAGAATTCAAAGGTTGAATGCATGAAAAGCACTAAAAATAGTGCCTAACACATAATTTTGTGTTAGGTAAGTTCCTGTTCAATTAAATAATTAAAAGATAAAAATACATACTGCTATTGTAAACAGTGCTGCAATGAACATACATGTGCATATGTCTTTATAATAGAATGATTTATAATCCTTTGGGTATATACCCAGTAATGGGATTGTAACCCAAATGCCCATCAATGATAGAATAGATAAAGAAAATGTGGCACATAGACACCATGGAATACTATGCAGCCATAAAAAACAATGAGTTCATGTCCTTTGCAGGGACATGGATGAAGCTGGAAACCATCATTCTCAGCAAACTGACACAAGAACAGAAAACCATACACATGTTCTCACTCATAAGTGGGTGTTGAACAATGAGAACACATGGACACAGGGAGGGGAACATCATATACTGGGGCCTGTTGGGGGCTGGTGGGCTAGGGGAGGGATAGCAGGGGGTGGGGGAATTGAGGAGGGATAACGTTAGGAGAAATACCTAACATGGGTGATGGTGGAGGGGATGGATGCAGCAAACCACCATGGCATGTGCAGACCTAGGTAACAATCCTGCACAATCTGCACATGTACCCAGAACTTAAAGTATAATAAAACAAAAGAAAAAAAATGCACACTGCTATTCATTAAATAACTTTTAAAAACACCTCCCTGATATTATTTTGTTAACTGATTTGTACATCTTTACATGAATTAGAAATTCTCAAAAAGTAATTTGTTCAAGGCCATATATGGTGGTTCATGCCTGTAATCCCAGCATTTTGGGAGGCCGAGGCGGGTGGATCACTTGGGGTCAGGAGTTTGAGAGCAGGGTGGCCACATCTCTACTAAAAATACAGAAATTAGCTGGGCGTGGTGGTGCACACCTACAGTCCCAGCTACTTGGGAGGCTGAGGAAGGAGAATCGCTTGAACCTGGGAGGTGGAGGCTGAAATGAATTGAAATCACACCCCTGTACTCCAGCCTGGGTGACAGGGCAAGACTCCGTCCCAAAAAAAACAAAAACAAACAGTAATTTGTTCAACTGGTTTGTGGTTTATCCCTCCCTGTGTCCATGTGTTCTCATTGTTCAACACTCACTTATGAGTGAGAATGTGTGGTGTTCAGTTTTCTGTTCTTGTGTCAGTTTGCTGAGAATGATGGTTTCCAGCTTCATCCATGTCCCTGCAAAGGACATGAACTCATCGTTTTTTATGGCTGCATAGTATTCCATGGTGTCTATGTGCCACATTTTCTTTATCCAGTCTATCATTGATGGGCATTAGGGCTGCAATCCCATTACTAGTATAAACCCAAAGGATTTGCTCTACTGCTTTGTGGTTTGTATCAGATGGAATGCAAATAGCTCGAAAGTCCAAAGTATCAAAAAAGATCTTTTGTGGAACAACGGGTTACAAATGGCCTCTCAAGATTGATGATATTGTCCAAATTGATTGCTGGAGGATTCCACAGCTTTTCAGAAGACATGCACACTACTACATGTATATGTCTGCTGCCCCAGGCAGATGAAGCAGAAAGAAGGGAAAAACGGCTTTGCTTTAGACCTCTGGGGAGTGAAGGTATAGATAGGTTCAATTGTCCCTGGCCACCTCAAATCCTGACAGAACAAACACTGGCAGGTCTCCGGGCTTTGCAAAGAGCTTCTCCCATCTCAGCGCAACAATTTGGTCTGCTATCCACTTAATAACCATGTTTCTCGTGGGAGAAGCAAAGGCTGGTTTAAATGTATAGATACTAAATATTTATTTGCTTATTTGCAAGAAGGACCTTTTTAAAATTTTTTTTTTAACATTATTCACCCAAACTTCTCATTTCAAGGCGCAGGCCAGGTGGTGCCTTGGCATTCCTCAGGGACACCCTCCGCATGCCCCAGGACTCCCAGACCCTGCTGTGTCTGTCTCACAGTTCTGAAGGAATACATCACCTGGCAGGGACAGATGGCTTTCTCTGGAAAAAGACCAAGCTTACCCAAATAGTTGTTGCTTTTGTACATCTCCGTGATGTTGATTTTCGTGGCTCCCTGGGGAATCTCCACGACGCGGTGGTAGCCCAGGCTGGTGAGGGCATGTTTAAACACGCCCGACACAACCTGACAGCCCGTATTGTCTCCTCCACACACCCCACATTTGTCCACGACTTTGTCAGAGCCTAGGTAGTCATCACAGCCAATGTTCTGCAAAAAGGCAGAAAACAAAAGACTCTTGTAGTATGAATCAGGAACATACAGAAGGAAGGGGGGGAGAAGCTCTCTGGGCAAGAAACTCCTTTTCTTGCTATTTATGAAATGTATATTCTAGGAGTGGGGTGGGGGCCACAGACTAAAGCCACAGACAATAAAACAGTTTGTTTGGTGGTGGTAAATGATCAGGAGAAAAATAACGCTGGGAAAAAGATGGGAGAAGATGTAAGAGGCTAGAAATTTACTTAAACAGGTTGTACAGTGAAGCTCTGCAAATCCCTGTTGGACTATGGGAGGGGAGAGGATGGTCTGGGCTGGAATTTATTTACTTATTTTGAGACGGAGTCTCGCTTTGTCACCAGGCTGGAGTGCAGTGGCATGATCTCAGCTCACTGCAACCTCTGCCTCCTGGGTTCAAGCACTTCTACTGCCTCAGCCTCCTGAGTAGCTGGGACTACAGGCATGCGTCACTAAACCTGGCTAATTTTTGTATTTTTAGTAGAGATGGGGTTTCACTATGCTGGCCAGGACGGTCTTGATCTCTTGACCTTGTGATCCACCCATCTCAGCCTCCCAAAGTGTTGGGATTACAGGCATGAGCCACCGCACCCAGCCTGTGCTGGGATTTTTAAATAAAGAATCTCTTTGGAATCATGACAAGCACCGCATCTGAAACTGGGATTTGCCCCCAAGTCTTCTTATAGATGCTACACTTAGCAAAGTGCCTCCAAAAGTAGTGTTCCCTGGACCAGTTTCTTAGGAAACTAAATTGTCTGAGAGCTGAACCTCTACTGGTAACTGTGGCTGTAGAGACCTGAGAGGCAGGACTTTTGCTTGGTTACTCCAGAGCCCTTTTCCCAGAGCAGAAGGATGAAGGTAAGCAAGCGCCAGAAACATGAACAAACAGGATGATAACCTGGTAAATCATGGAGTGCCATGAATTCTCCCTTGCTTTGTAGAGCCAGTCTCATCAGTGTATAAAGGAATTCTGACTTTCCTGAATTCCCCTCCCCTCACAAAAGGAATCTTCCCACAACTCATTCTAAGATCTTTTGGCGTTATCTCTTCCTCCGCATTCGTATTTCCGCTCCAATCATTTTATTTTGCATACGGAAATTAAACTTTGGGTCAGACATGGTGGCTCATGTCTGTAATTCCAGCCCTTTAGGAGGCTGAGGCAGGAGGATCGCTTGAACTCAGGACTTTGAGACCAGCCTGAGCAACACAGTGAGATCCAGTCTCTACTCAAAAAAAAAAAAAAAAAAATTAACCAGGTGTGGGGGCACACACCTGAAATTCTAGCTGCTCAGAAGGCTGAGGTGGGAGGATCGCTTGAGGCCAGGAGTATGAGGTTGCAGTGAACTATGATTGCACCACTGCACTCCAGCCTGGGCAACAGAACAGACCCTATTTCAAAACAACAACAACAAAAATGAAACATTAAAACAAAATGGAAAAATCTTCATGAAATCTTTTCTTACTTCTGCAGCTTCCCACGCCTGACCTCACAGGGCTCAGGATCATGTTTCCTGAGTCTAAAATTGGGACTCCCATTCTGAACAAAGAATTCTGTCACTTTTCCATGAGCAGATGGAAGTGAGTTGATTATGGTTTGGACGATGAAATACTGTGAGCACAGGATTATTCACTGGGTTATGAGGATATGGAAAGATAGTTGAAATCAGAATGGTATTCTAATTGTTGAGACACATGCTCTCCAAATCACAGGCTTGTTCTTGTTCTTGAATGCTAACCGCAATGATCAGTCCACATCGCAGGGGCAAGGCGGCCAGCAAACCCGTCAAAGTCCGCTTTTGATTTTGTTATGCAACACTGGGTCTCTTCATGTAGGTCCTATAGGTCAAACCCTGTGGGCAGAGTCAAATCAAAAGGTGCCCATTCCTTCCCCTCTAGCTGCATGGCTGATTGAAACCTTTCTGCAGGCACTGCCCTTCTGCATTATTGCTTCCATATTCCCCCGTGCACATTAACCCATCCGTAATGACTGGTCTCGCTTCACAAATAGCATCTCTGACAGTAACAGAACATCTCTGTATGTTCATCCACATCCAATTAGCCTTTCCAAATGCCATGTTTGCTATGTATTTCTCCTCCCTCAAATCTTTCTCACCCTGCCCCATGCACCATTTTAGCAGAAAAAATAAGGAAAATGTTTTCCATGCATGATTTCCATAGCCCCACCCCCTTGAATTCTCCCTTGCTTTGAAACAACAACGAAATGTTACCAACAGGGGTTTTCAATAGAACCCATGTCATCAAGGCAAGATTCCAACTGAATCAGGGAGATACCTCTGACTGTCACCAAGGGGGAAGGTGGACAGGAGAGCTGGTCAACACCCATTGCCTACCCTGTCTAGCAACATCTCACACTCCCTCCCTTCCCAACTTTCAGTCTGTTGCTGCTACCCCTGGCCTCGGCTTGTCTAGACTGAGCTCATTCTCAGAGGGGTCCTTCAGATAAAGGGAACGATGTGTACACAGGTAGGAAAGAACACAGAAAGACACGGCTGAAGCGCAAGGCTGCTGGGAGGGATGCTACGAGGCTGGGGAGTTCAGCTGAATTTGTCAAGAATCTTGTTTGCTGGATTGGAGAATTAGAGTTTCATCCTATGGCATGAGCAACCCCCAGACGTCTGAAGGGGAGAGCCACGCTCAGACTTGCTTTTTAATAACAATGGTTGCAGTGTGGAGCGGGCCTTACCTAGAGTGGGGACAATGAGCCATCCAGGGAGTCTCTCTCCTGTAACTAGGGTGTAAGGGATATTTCAGGAATGAATGAGAGTCGCCAAAGACGGAACAGATGTCGCACTAATCATATTAATTCTCAGCCCCAGCCCAGTTAGAATGGAGGTGTCACAAGGAAATTACACAAGCACGGATAACTTCAGACAACCGTAGACTCTAACAAAATGTTACTTGATCTTGAGAATCAGACGTTATATTAAAATGCACTGCACAATTCGATGGACCCACCCCCACCAGATTTCCTGCACAGCATGGTTGCTCTGGATCGGTCTGGACATGGGAAGGAAAAGCTGCAAGAGTTTTTCCTGGTAGATGTCCAAGGATCCTAGAGGTTGGTTTCAGTGAAGCATGGGGCTGCACAGGGTGCCAAGAACTAAAGGTGACAGCCTGTCTCCCAGGAGCCACGATCAATAGCTTCCTTAGGACCTACTAGGAGCACTCTTCAGTGTTCTAGTGGCTACCCACACCTCTGAGACTGAGTTCCCATGGAGTTACCAAGTATCTCTCCTTTACTTCACAAAGCAAGAGAGACAACTCCAGAATGAGAACTAGGGAGACAGCATATATTCAAGACCTTCATTTTTAGCTGAGGCCAAAGGCAAATTACACACACGACAAAGGTCCCTTCTCCTGCACAGGGCTGTAGTGAAGATCTTATGATGTAACGACGGACGATTTGGATTGTGTGTCTAGGAGGGTGTGGCTGGGGAATGACCTCTGGACTAGGATCTGAATGACAAGAAGGACCTGCCATGACAAGATTGAAACACGTAAAGATGTATTTCATCACTGACGTCGTTGAGTGGCTACACTGAAAAGGCTGCCCAGGAGATCCCAAGCTGAATCAGACACAGGTCGTGCCTTTGGGAATCTGAGTCTGACAGGAGTGATCAGACACACACACAGATAATCACAAGCTATCAGGCAATGAGGAACCCCTGTATGCTCTATGTTGTGCTGGACAGGATCGAATCTCCTTTAGTCGATAATTAACAATTAGGTACATGGAGTCTGGAGGATGTTGCAATATCCCAGTCTGAATGAGGGGAATGGGGATGGAGTGACGGGATTTGAGAGATGCTTGGGATGCAAAATGAACAGGTCTTTGTGTCTGTCCTCATCCTCCTCCTTGCCATCTTTCTCAACATCATCGTGTCTCGCATTTACAGAGTCTTTACTATCTTCTAGGTCCTCTGAACACATATGTTTTGCCATTTAATCCTAAAAATCCGTCTGTGAGATTGCTGAAATTTATAGGAAACTAAGACTTAGAAGACAGGTTAGGTAATTTGCCCAAGGCCATAATGCTAATAATAGGTAGAACTGGGATAGAAACACAGCTCCCAGACCAAAGCCCATGTTTTTAACCATTAGGTAAAAGTTGGAGGTCAAAGGGTCAGAGGTCATGTTGAGGGTTCTAGCTTTGCTGAAGGAGATGGTGGCAGTGACCTACGTGCGGAGGAACGAGTTCAAAGCATGGTTACCATGAAGACTGGAGAGAGCCTGGCCTAGAACTAGTGACTCTGGTTTTCTCTTCTTGCAGGGTTATGAGGGACCAACCCCATTATGTGTCTCTCTTACACTGGCTCTTTTAACATTATACTTTACACACGCATGTGAATACATATTCTAGCCGATCTTCCTATTACATTACTTTCTTATTGTTATAACGTTTTATTTTGAAATAGTGTAAGACTCAAAAGAAGTTGTAAAAAGAGTGCAGAGAGTTTTGATGCCCTTTCACCCAGCTTTCCCTAATGATAATATCTTGCATAACCAAAGTAATTTGTCAAAACCATGTATGCCATTGACATCAGTATAATACTGCTAAGAACAGGTCTTGTTTGTATTTGTCATTTTTTAGATGCACTTTTCTGGTGTTTCATGAACTATTATCACATGTATAGATTACGTGCTATGAATTTGTTTAAGGCAGCTGATATTTTCCTCCAAAACGCAGTCGTATAATCATTAGTTATAATCACTAGCTGATGTCATTTACCAGGAGAAACAGTTTAGAATAATAAAAAGAATGTTGGACTGGGAACCAGAAAACCTGGGGTGCAGTCCTGGCCCAGTCCCTGGCTTGCTGTGTGATGTTGGGTTAGTCACTTCTCTTTGAAGTAGCTGCTGAAAACATTTCTACCATCATCCAGATCTTCTTGTCAAGGACAATGTTCAGAAATGAATCTGGCCTGAATTCTGGTTTGTGCATCAGGAGGCTGATC